AGTGTGCTGTTTTTAACTGCTTCCAATGCTGTAAGTTTGTTATGAATCCTAACTTACTTTTGACCTTCAAAAGAAGATAACTCTAAATACAAATTTCCATTGTTTTTTCCCACTTTTCGTTTGAAACAAATTTTTTTACACTTGAAACTGATACAGAAGTACTTTAGAAACATTTTGAAATTTATAGCAAGATTTTGGATCCATATTTTTGCTGCTACAAATGCTATCCCTCCTCATTAATCTGTGCAGGATTCAAATGTCATTCGTGTATCAAAATCTTCTGTATATTTTATTACAAGTATGTATTTATGACATTGTAGCACTACAATGGATACCTTAATATACATCTTGGTACCCTAAACAAATTTTAATTATTCTTGGGCTGGTTAGTGACCCATTGCTCGAATGCCAACCTTATGTAAATATCCTTATTATATTTATTGACATGATTTCAGATCACTTTTTTCTACTTATAGCACTTTGTGGTAGAAATCAGAGAGTCAATACTCTGGGGTTTGTAATATGAAATATTTTTATAACTTAAAAATTGAGATACCAGGTCTGTTATTTCAATCTGAGATACTGTGCACAGAAGGTTAATGTTTGATTCTGAAACTAAGTCATTCCAGAATAAATTATTGTAGAAATATATTAAATTTATCTTCAGAAACTGTATGTGATACATCTAAATAAATGACATTTTTATAAACCCAAATGAGACCAGTGTTTGTGCAGGTATGGTCTCTGAACTTATCTAAATATGCTGTCTCTTATCACACTGTCATTGGCTACAGGATGTCAGCAAAATCTGCCAATAACTAAAAATGAGACCAGTATTAGAACATATTACCAGTAAGAATAACTATTTTCTGGCATAACATTATGTGTTTTAATAAAAGCATGTTGGCCAGAGGAGTTGTAACTACATTATCACATTTTGGGATCAGCAGATCAGGCTACAATATCATACTAATTTCATTTTGTGATACCATGGGAAGGAAAAATCAGGGCCAGTGGTCTGTGTGGTTCATAGCAATATAAAGCTAATGGTCTTTTCCATGTAAAAAAACCTGTTACTTTGTAGCAGCATTAGTTTTGAGTGTGCTAAGACATATGACATTGTGCCAATTTATTAGTATATGTATATATAGTATACCATAAAATGTTTACTTATATAAATAATAAAATGCATCAGGTACAGATATTCTTCATAGAGAGTTAATTGCTTTTATTTTATTACACCCTTGTGCAGGTTTTGAAAATGACTGAAATTATACATTCTCTCATAGAAACAATAATTATTTTATTCATAATTTGTTTCCTTACATACAAATACACCTACAGGAGAAATTTAATTTTTTATTTCCAAATTTTTATTTAGTGCCTATAATTATAAAAATACTGTCGTGGAAACTGCATTGTGTAATGATACCATTAAAATTTAAATGATGAAAATTTTATATTCTATCTCATTATATGCCTAGTTTTTTATGTAAGTGACGTTTACGTTACAGTTGTTGATGATATAAATAGTGCCTAGACCACTACTATGTCTGTTGTATCCCAGCCAGTTTGATTAGCCCTGGTATTGGGCAAAAAACCTTGTTGGCACTGGATATGACAAATGTAGTGCAGTTGACATATTATTACACATTCTTCTTTGCTTTCACTCATAAAACCTCAGAATACCTGATGTAGTTTTCTTTTGTTGATGCTGTGGTTACTTGACCCATTCTGAATGATAATAAAGTAATCCAAATAAAAATAATAAATAAATAAATGATATTAAGTATAGAGTAAATAATTGGCATTGTGTTATTAATCCTTACCCTAAAATTCTGAATTGTAAATGACATATAAACTTAATAATAATTACAGTTAACTTACTTGATCTTGTTCACACCATAATAGTCGTTGTTCATGAAAATTGATAATATATATATATATATAGTGCCTAGACCATTACTATGTCTGTCATATCCCCACTGGCGTGATGAGTTCTGGTATTGGGCAAAAGGCAGGTGTAGTTTGGTTGGCATATTGTAACATATTCAGCTTTGTTTCCACTCATAAGATCTTAGAATTCAAGGTGACTGAATTTCACACAAATATTAATCTGTTTACAGTTTCACTTATTAGTGTTTGGGCAAGCATTTTTCCCAGGATAACTAATTTTTTTGCTGCTGGAATGAAATGAAAGTGGTTTGCTGCTCTGCACATGTACCTTTGAAAACATGTTGGCCTGTACTTTCATTCATTCTTTTCTTGTTTAAGTGTTTATTTTGTTTCCAGTTTCCAACCTTCTATAAGCATATCAAACTGATATTAAAAATTTGGCATGAACTTGGACTTAAGCTATAAAGAGTATTAAAATATTGTATATACATGATTTTTGTGCTCTCTAAGCTCAATATTATTTCCAAACTTTATAATTTCCAGAAACTTTGATTATTCTGTGATAAATTACTTTAAAGTATAATTATTTTTAATTAATTTGACTTCAGTCATATTGATATGTTACATTTATTGGACTCAATATTTTCAATTTCCATAATATTTAACTCAAAAAACACAGTAGTTAATACATTTTTTTCTTTGCAATTGGTATTTCTGTAGTTAACTGTTTTGAGTTCATCTTGAGTGCTTAAATTTAATATGTTCTGAAAAACTAAATATCTGGGATGGAAAGGTTATCATATGTAGATAGATTAAAATCTCTGAAATTGTTTTCTTCTGATAAAAACAACAACAAAGAATTTGAAGAGATTTGATTGAGATGTTTAAGATTTTTAAGGGAATTGATAGTGTTGATGCATCATTTTGCATATTTAATTGGGAGAATGGTAGGACTAGGGGACACAGATATAAATTTTGGAAGGGTAGTATTCATCTTCAGCTAAGACAGTTTTATTTTTGTAACAAGGTAGTTGACCTTTGGAATGGTTGGCTGCAGAAGCAGTAAATTTAAGATAGTTTAAAAGAAAGCTTGATAAATATTTGAATGATAAGGACTGACTAAGAGTTGTTTTTTTTAATAGTTTAATAGATGAGACAGTGTAAATGGACCAACAGTTCCATTAAATATTATGTTATAATGTGCTATTGTTAGTTCCCATGATATTTATTAAATTCTTGACACAAATCTTTATAGAGGTTGAATACATTATACTAAAATGATTTTGGAATCTCACCACATTGTTACAGTCCATGTTGCCACATCCAGTCATGCTCTATGTGATGACTGTGCATCTTTATAATACCCCAACAATGTAGTTTCAATTGCAAAAGGTTCCATTTTACGACTGTCATGTTTAAAGCACACCACTCCTCCCTGATTGCTTTCTGTAAGCCTTCTAGTATACTACGATGATAGTTTTTTAGCACTTATTTCATCAGTTTTATCACATAATAATCCATAGGTGCTGTATCTGATGACTTGACTAGTATGTCTTCATATGGAATAGTGTGAATACCCATTTCCTTCTCCAGCTGTTTAAGATATCCAGTTTTCACTGAAAGCCTTATCTTGGTGAAATCTGTTGGCCTCCTTGTAAGAAGAAGAACCTTTTTGATTATGCTACATACTGTTGCCTAGGTCTGAAGTGGATGGCTTTTGCCACTGACCTTTGTGTTTATGCATACTGATCTGTTACAAGATGCTACACTTTGCTTACCATGGCTAGTGTAAGACTTTTTACAAGCCTCTTTCTGTATTGTTGTGATGCCTGAAGTTGATTCATATTCCTTTGTTGTCAAATGACATTAAGTACAAGAGATATCCTCGTCTTGGCAATTTTAAATCCCTGATCTGAGTGTATGAATATATTGTTATATACTATTCCTAAAAGGTGACATTACACTACTTTCAAAATGCCAGAATGCTGTCAGAATGTATTTGATACATGCCGGTCACCCATAACTTTATTTCTGGTGTGATTATCATGATTTAAATATACATAATATTTCTAATATTACATACTCAAGCTTGTATAGTTATTTGATATATATAAAGTAAAATGTACTGAAACTATATATATAGTTTATTTTCTTACTTTTAAGGACAAGTAACAGGATACAAAATTCTCAGTTTCCCACTTTCATGTACTTTCATGCCTGATAATATAGAAATAGAACTCCTTGGCATCAGAAATAACAGCAAGATGACATGAGTGACCTAAAGACAATAGTGTAAACACTGGTTGATCCAAAAGATAGGAAACATATATCAAGAAAACATAAAATAAAATAATTTAGTTTGGATGCTATAGTATGTTAATGCAGTTTATTTAATTTTTATTGTAGGCCATATTTTCATAACATTAATAGTAAAAAAAAAGAATTTCCTGTATCTATGTAATATAGTTGTAAATGAGGTAAAATTTAAAAAAGTTTTTTGAATTTTAAATATTAACACTAACAAAAATAATTTTGGAACTTATATGCCTGAAGATTTGAATAAGTTTATGGTTGATTTGCTTTATATATTATAAAGTTTTTTAGGCTTATAATGTGAGGTATTTTTTAAAGAGACTAAAGTGAAGGCCTTAAACAGTTATGTATATGCACCACAGTTAGTACCTTGTAAAACAGTGCAATAATGGTTGTTACTATATATAACCAACTACTAATGGTTTAAAATTTGACTAGTATAAGGATATACACAAGGCTGATAAAACTATTGTTCATTTAAGGTATTATGGGAAATGTTTTAAGATATTCTTTTGTAGTTTCGTGCATTCTTCTTCGGTCATGAACTGTTATGTATGTATGCATCATGTGGTAAAAAATGGGAATTCTTGATTGTTTGGTGACTTTAGTAGTCTTGCAACAGTGGCTTTAATATTGTTTATATTAACTCGCTGATAGCTGATAATTTAGCTTTAAGTTAAGAGAAAATGAAATGATTTTATCTAAACAATAATGAAGTATTGTTGGCCAAGCAATAAGCCAACTGTTTTTGTAAAATGATTGTAAGATTAACCTAAATGTTTATTTTACAGACATTGTCTGAATCACAGAAATCCCGTTATGGATCAACGGGACAACAACAGGACAGTGGTCGCTCAGAAACATTATCACGGGCCTCTGATCGTCTTGGTCAGGGCTCTCTAAGCAGCAGCACAGGCAGTCTAGCTGAGGAGAGTGATAAAGATTACAAAAAGGTATTAATAAAATGTTTATATATTACAGAATGATATTAAAATGTCTGTAGTCAAATTATAGCATGACTATTTTAGGTAAGCAGAGAGTTTGACTAATTGTTTTTAAGCTAATTGATAAACACGTTTCTCTTTTGTAAGAAGGCAGTGACTTGTAACTTATACATCTGACTTGAGAACACTATAAAATTCATCTATCAACATCTATTTTATATTGTTTTGAGCTGTCTTTATGGAGGTGAAGTTTATACCAACAATATTAAAATTCCACAAAATTTACAATTCCTTTTGAGAAAGATAGAGTTTGAGAATTATACTTTTTTTTTGTTAGTATTGTTATAAGCTATATTTTCAATGTTTTAATTCAGATGTTTTCTAGAGGGTATATGACGTTAAGATAGAAAAAGTTCATGAAAGTTAGGAATCAAGAAGCTTTGTGGAGTATATAGAAACAAGAGTATAATATGAATGAGTTATTAGTGACTGAATAGTAAAGTATTTAATGAGTAATCATTGAGTGATTCAGTTCAGTATTACTAGTAAGAGTTTTTGCATCTATTCAGTTAGTCGATCGATTAACTGAGGAATTATACAGGTAAGTTCCTAAGTAAGTTAGATATACCATTAGTCATATTTGAACTTAGGCCTACAAGCAGGCTTGGGACATTTGTCTCAGCTGCCCCCCCCCCTTTTCTTTTGAAGGCACTGTCTACAAGTGAACTAGCCTGTAGCAAACATTATTAAAGAAAAAAATGAATGAGTTATCATAACAGGACTGGTCATGGCATTATTTGTACTAATTAATCCAAATAAACCTGGACAATGATAGAATAACTTGCATCAAAAGTGGGAATATTTTGGTGAAAATACAACAGAATTTTAACTAAACTTTAACTTCAAAATGATAACAACATGGGCAAGAAATGAGATTGAGAATTTTAGGGAAGAGTTAAAAAAGAATTATATTTAAAGAAGAATTAATAAAAGTCAATCTGATAGAAAAAAAGATCTATGACGCTATTGGAAATGTACACAGAAGGATTACATAAGTTAGGCTGAAGTACAGAAAGACATCAGTGAAATACACAATAGCTTTAATGATAAAATCAAATAAGTACAAAAATAAATAAGTGATAAAATAAAACATTTGGTAAAAGGTTTGATAAATGGAAAGACAAAGCCTGCCACTTGCCCATTTTTGCACCTCCCAAAGAATTCCAATCTAAAATGCCATCTACTACAAAATTTAGAATAAAATAATTTGTTTGATCTTCACATAATACCACTACTGTTGTACCATCTGTTACTGCAGAACCATTCTTCACCACTCAAGCCATGTCACTTCCAAATCCAGTTTCAGAATTTATCTGGCCAATACAACAACATCACCCAATTGAGAAAGCAGTGGACTATGATGGAAAGGTACCATAGGAGGTATATTTGTTTGAAATAACTTCCAGGGTGGATGTGTATGGAATGATTAACAACAAGCTATATATTGCCATCAATTTAATAGAACCAGCTTGAACAACATTAAGTAGCCTTCCAGCTGAGAGCCATAGCAACTTACAAGAATTGGTAGCTGCTTTATCCAACAGGTTTGGAGTGACACACAAGAAGCATCCATAGCAAAATTCCAGGAAGGGGTATAATGGAAAGAAAAAACTGTGGATGACCATGCAGATGATTTGGAAAGGCTTACCCAGTTATCTTATCTGGATACTTCACATGAACTGATGGATTCCTTGGCATGTAACCACTTTATACATATCATAATAGATGAGGATATGAGAATTAGGTTGAAGCAAATTAGGTGTACATCTTTAAAGGAAGCTTTCCAGTTGGCAATGGAACTGGAATCTATTAACTCTCTAGAAATGTGTAGGTTAAAGTGTATGTCATGGCCTCTCTAAAGAATTACATTCAAAATTTAGTTTAAATATTTTATTATTAATCTTTATCAATAACATTGGCATAAAAACATAGTTTATAATCTAAGTTTTAATTTCTGAATTTCAAAAGAAAATATTTAAACAAAATATGTCTTCACTTCTATGCATTACATGACATTTCTTCATTCTGAATTGTCCATTTTAGGTATCCTTTCCAACCCTGTTTCAGCTTCTGAGTTTTAACACAAGTTACACACTTAGAGTATAGGTTTTTCTAAGACATAATCTAAATTTATAGTCTCCAATGTTCTTGCTTTACTGAGATATAAACCAGAAAGTTGAATCCACATGCCACATCCTCCTATCAAATCCTGTTTTTCAAAAAATGTCAGTAATTCTTTTTGGAATTTGTTGTTGGATTATATATAACAAATACAAAAAGAAGATTTTCATTTATTGAATTCTTTACAATACTTTCTTGATCTGGTGACAGGTTTTGAATTATTTGTGCTACAGTTTCATTCTTTGATATTGCTTAGGCATCTTTACCAGCCAAAGGAATTATGTTAAATCACTCTAGATTAAGTGGAAAACAAGTTAAATTAGAATAGGTATAGGACATTGTATTATTTGTGTATTAACATTCTGTGTTCTAATTTGAATATTTGAAATAGTTAAGAATTTGATAAATACTAACAACAACCCTACCAAAAATTAGGATTAACTTTTATCTGAGCTTCAACTCCAAAAAAAAAAAGTACAAACCCACATGTAATTACTATGCATATTTTTCTTATTTTTCTATACATATTTATTTATTGTTATAAAAATAGCTAAAATGTAAAAATTAGAAATTTATTAGGTTACATAAAAAAATTAAAGTAAAACATATCTTTACAAGGAATGCACATGATCTGCTCGTGCATGATGTAATTCAGTACTTTCACTATGCTCTCACTGGGTGATTTCTTGCTTTGTGGCACTAGTTTAGTAGTTAAACATGGTTAAAAGAGCAATAAAACAATAAATTTAAATGAAAGCAGTTAGGAAAGGTTAGAAGACTGAAGATTTTAGGATACATAACTGTAATTGTCTGTTACAATATGCATTCATTCTAGAATGAAAAACCAGAGTAATTTCAATTTATTTTGTATTTTTATATGGCAGTTAGAAAGTTAGTCAAATGGGCTGAGCCCATATACAATGTAAGGGTAGAAAAAATAACAGATAAAATATATATGTTACTGGAAAAAAACTTTTGACATTCATTAAGTAGGTTCTAGAAGTTATGCATATAAAATATGAAAAGTGTAAGATGAAAAAAAGTATTTTTATTCTTAACATGAAAATCACTTTGCACTCAGACTGACTTAGTAAAGGCTTTGTAATTCACAGACAAATCTTTAGTAGAAATGCTTAATTGAAAAAATCAGACTTTTTTTTTGTGTACAACAGTCTCGTAGTGTTTAATAAAAGTTTCCCAGGTTTCATGAAGATGCACTTAGTAAATTCAGAGCTATAGTATGTATAGTTTCATGGTTACATGGTGTTTACAAAGTTGGACAAAATGATCAAGTCCACTTATAGAGGATTCAAGTCACAGATAAACTACCAAAAGCACCATCAAATTGAGTAGTGTGGAAACATCAACTCCACCTGACAATAGTCTAGAACAACTTAAAGCATTAGTTAGACAACTAATCATACAGAATGGAGGAGATAAACCACAAAAAATAGACGTTTTAAGTGTAACATGAAAGACATATTATCTATTCCATACAAAATCCTGTATGGAATAAGAACACCTCCCAAGAGATACCAGAAAGAGGGAAGTGTTATGATTGTAGGAAACATAACCATTGCTGAGGCTTTAAGGAACCAGTAGCTGTTATTAAGCCAAGAAGACAATACCCTGAGGATTTGTCTCGGAGCCCAACCAACTCAAAGGAACAGCAAAGAGCTAATCAGACATTTAAAAAGAAGGGAATTAGCTGAATTTACGGTATAAAGTCAGCTAAAAATATTCCATCTGCCCCAAGTGAGATAAGTATTTAATTATTTGAGGAAAACCATCCAGAAGTCATGGGTTTATTGATGGAAAACATTGCACTGTACAGAAACTGGTCTTACAACTACAATTGTTTTACCCAATTAAAGGTGTAAAATTACTTTCAGAGATGAAGAAAGAGAAGAGGTAATGATGTGAAAACAGCAGGTGGATATAAAGTTACAACAAGAGGAAAGTTGGAGATTACTTTTACTCTAGGAAGCTTCTTCACACTTCAAGGTGTGTGAGTAATTTACATTGAGGACTATGACTAGGAAATTCTTTGTGTACTTATAGAAATTACTACACCAGCGACAACAGGGAGGAGGTTTATTGTTCCATCAAAAAGTGAAATACTCATACCAAGAATTATTAGGGATAAATATACACCTAGTTACTTGGGCTCAGTAGAACCAAACACTCCAGCATGCCCTGAGGGATTGGTGATTGTAAGAGCTCTTGTAGATGTAAATAATGAAGATGTCATACATGACTTCACCTAGGAAGGACTTATTTCAGCTTATGATAAAATGAAAAGTTGTTACAATGTTAATGTTGATAAAGTTGAATTTCAGTGAGATGATACATTCCCTGCTGCAAGAAAGAATGGACTCTAAAGTTAAGGCAGGTGTTGGGAAGGGACATATGCATTTGTTTCATCAGTCCAATTACACAGAAATCCATAGATGTTCCATCCAGCAGTTTCACTGGTATTTCTTTATATGGAATATCATGAATATACATTTCATTCTCTAACTGCTTGAGACTGTTCAATGAGACTGGAAACATATCTTGGTCATATTTCCAGATAGAGTTCCTTCTTGATTATATTGCATACAGTTGGTTGAGATGCGTGCAAGGTTTTTGCCACTGCCCAGTGAGTTCATGGATTTCCATCTGTAACAAGATGCTGCACTTTGCTTACAACAGTTGGGGTATGTCTTATTGCAAGTCTCTTTCTAGATGGTCCTAGGCCCCATTTTCCTTTGTTTTCTAATGCCATTAAGTACAGGGGATATCCCCATCTTGGAAATTCTAAATTATATCTTTATCATTTGAGTGTATGAATATCTTTCATAGTAAAGGGCTTTATGTAAAAGTGATAAATTTTTGGTGGCATCACAAAGTGCAAGAAATAACTAACAATGTCAAAATATAGTTCTGATACATGATGTTCCATCATGACTATATCAGCTATGGTTGTCACATGACTTGCTGGTTTTCATATTCAATATATTTTAATATAACTTACTCAACTTTCTGTATATATATTGATAAATATTAATATCAGGAAAAAATGTTCCTAACACTATTTCTTCAAATGTAATATTTTCCATTGATGTTTTTCATATTTTCTTACAGATCTGTGAGACATTAAAAGCAGAAAATGAAAGATTAAAAGAAAAACTAAAGAAAACAGAAGATGATCTTGTCAGCACAAAAAGACAGCTAGATAAAACTTTACTTCAGGTCAGTAAGCTTTAATATACGAGTACAAGATGAGAAAACATCTATGCATGTGCAATTTAGTGATCTTCCATACTTTGTGTACAACATTGTAGCCAGCAGTAAATCATAATGTTGATATTCTAAAGGTAATTTCTTTGATACTAGTAATATTACCAGGTTTTATAAACATATTTTTATTCATTTGGTAAAAAAAAAAAAATTCAAAAACATTTAAGGACTAAAACCACAAATATTGACAGCTTTTTAGGTATTTTTTTTTTGTAAATTATGGGTATAAACATAAAGTCCAAATATTTTTGATAACAGTTTTACTTTGTCACAAGTCATGCTGCTTATGTTTTTGCTACTATCTTGAGAGTTTAATTAGCTTTTTTTATTTTTTTTGTTAGCATCTTTGTTTATTTCAAGGGTTTTATTGTTGCTTGCTTCCTCATTTTTCATTCCTGTTATTGTCCATCTAGAGGATTTATTTTTGTTTTTACTAGAATTGTTTATTTTGTTTTTACTGCAGTTTCTTTGTAATGTTCATAATGTAATTACTGTTTATTTTAAGGATTAATTTTGCCTCTGCTTATTTTATTGCTGACTTTTATTTTTTGGGGGGTTACATCATTGCATCTTAATTTTGTTCTTGTCATAATTGTGTATCAAAGAAATAATTTAGCTTTTATTATGTTTTTTTTTGCATTCATAGTTTATCTCAAGGCCTAATATTACTACACATTTCTTTTTATCTTTTAAAGTGGATTTAGGCAATGTGTTCAGCATATGGACCAGTGGTATGTCTGCAGACTTACAACGCTAGAAACCGGGTTTCGATACCCCTAGTGGGCAGAGCACAGATAGCTCATTGTGTAGCTTTGTGCTTAGTTTCAAACAAACAAAAGCATATGGACAGAGTTTTCTGTGGACTTCTGCTGTTATTTTTGATTTTGAGATGACATTTCATCTCTGTGCTGAGTCTTGTGATAAACATTGGTTGATCATTGGTAATGTTGTTGATTCCTATTTTTGATAAGTTTCTATATAGATAATGTCCTAGATATTGCTGCTTCCTAGGCCTCAGTCTCAGTTGACTTTTGGTTTATTTATCTTTATTCTGGGTGCTTGTTTCGCTCTGTCACACCAACTAACTATTACATGGTTTGTTTCATTGCATGGTGAAAAACTTCTTGATGAAATACTTTGAAACTTCAGAAGAATGTTTTACAGATGCTATATCTTCTACAAATACAGCATCTTATTTTTATTTGTAATATTTGTATGAATTCACAGCTTTGAGAATTTCAAAGATTTAATTGTAATATTTTTAAAGAAACAATTAAAAATGTTTACTTTGTTGTAGGTTTTTAGTTAATGATTTTTATGCCTCCCTACATTCTTGTAAAACTTTCCTATGAAGTTTTTATCATTGTTGTGAATCGAAAAACACCACACACTTTCACAGTGTTTATTTATGATCACTAGTGTGCAGGAAAAATATTTTTTTTTACCATACCAAAATTATTACCAAGCTCATTTTTTTAATTGTTAATCAACTTGGGTCAATAAGGCCTAATGTAAACAAGGGTTAACACAGCAGCTTTGGCAAAATGATTTAAGTAAGCCTATTTCATCCTTTCTTCAGGAAAAACATTCCTTTTCCAGTCATACTTCTACATGATAATTCAAATACAGTATAAAATGTTAGAGCAAGATTTTTTTTTTTTTAAAGTCTGAACTGTAATTGTGGTGAAAGCTCTTTCCAAACATATTTTCTTATAGCAACATATCATCAAGCTAAGGTTTTATCATATTGTTCTTGCACAGATCTTCACATAACTGGAAGTCATAGTGGCTTTTACATTAGGAAAGAACAGAAAAAGTTGTCATTACATATTCAGATCACTAACCTAGATGTAGGGAATTACACCATGACCAATGTGGTTGAGAAACAATGATTGGTTAAAAAATCGATAAAACTCAATTTTTATTCAAGTTACAAGGTTAAATTAGCAAGAAAAAATGGAAATCTAGAATACTTTTCATGTTCTGTTGTTTAAAAACATCAAAAGATCATCAGAATTTTAAATATCATAGATACGACGAAGCAAAAAACTACTGTTATGTTATATGTCAACCAATCTCAGCTCATTGTAATGGAAATTAAGCAGTGGATGATCAGTCATGCTATGTGGATTGTAACTTTTTGGTCAGTCAACCTATATATATATATATATATA